CGGTCAGGTATAAGGTAGATGGGACTATACGATCCCTATACGGACAGATGGATCCCTATACGCACGCTACAAGTTGAGGCATCCTGCCACAACGTCCGCTGAGGGCACATACGCAGCGGGACCGACCGAGCTCCCGCTGCGTGTTGTCACGCCACCCCACTGCAACAAAAGGAGAACAATGATACTCCCCCCCCCCCGCATTATTCGAAAGAACGTTCAAAAGTAGCGCCTCTGGCTATGGTCAGGTGTATCGCTGACCGCGTGTGTCTGTGGCCTGGCCATTTTTTCTACAACAACCGATCTACTCATTCCGCAGATGGCAAGGTTTCACCGTGCAGGTAATCATAAAGGGGTCTTCAACTGTCATTAGAAACTGAAAATAGAGAGGTGCTAGATAGTACAGAACATACCGAGGCTCCACGTTGACTACATCGTAGGAATCTTGGAAAATCGGTGAATCTCCACCGGGGCCACCATCGTATGAATCCAGCGTATTCCTCATCCGACGCACAAGCTGCACCCGTACTCTCTGGGCTTTGTATCCGTTTGACCTGGAAGATTTCCGTTCAACGAGCTTGTTCTTGAGAAATCCAGACCATATCAGCTGAGAACTGCCAGAATAACATATACCTCTTCCTCGTATGATGGTTTCTTGATTGCATTTCTATAATCAGAATCAAGCAGAGTCAGCGGTTCATGTCTTGTGTATGCGAGGCACTTTTCCACAGGGAGCATCTGTATGAGAAAAAAAAATGAAATCACGCACAGTTGCTGCTGTTGGTACGTCACTCGGAGGCGTTCTCACCTACGTACGCCTCGGCGCGGCACCAGACCGCTTCCACCACTATTGGACACTGTTGGGCGGGCAGCCTTTGATGGAAGAAATCGGCGCCGCGCCAAAACGTACGTACGCGGACACGTCGCCACCTCAAGGTCACACATGCACTCTACATTGAAATTCTCCAACGAAAGGGAAGCTCGAAGCAAATATTACCTGTCTGAACCTCTTTTCCTCCAATCGTTGCCTCTCTTTCTCTTCTCTCTCCTTTCGTTCTTGTTCGGCCTGTGATTTCTGTTTTGCCAAGCAAATACTGCAGTTAACATCATAAAAATGGCTCAGATGTTGCTCCGTGGTATCCTTTGCGCCATCACCAAGTAGGGAATCAAGCGTAGACGACACACTTGCCGAGGCAGACTTAATCGCACTTATTCCGATTCTGATAACTCAAAAGAGGATAGCTAAAAGTGCGTTCATACTTAGCGACAGCGTTTCGATCGCTTTTAGCGACTAGAGAAGTATACATAGATTCAGCGTTCGGAGGACAGAATTTAGATATCGATTACCTCTAGAAACGCGGGCAGAAGCTCAAAACGACGACGCAAGGTATGAACGCACACTAATAATGGATTCAGAACTTACAGCATTCTTTGGCTCAGATTTACGAAGTGGGCGTTTTGCTGACTTCACTTCAACTTTTTTCGATAACTTCGGTGTACTCGTTTCTTTTCTTAATGCACTGCGGGTAGCAATGCTCGCTTCAGAAACAGATGCAGTGGCGCCAGCAGTACTCTCTGCTTCCTTCTTCTTTGCGCTTTCAGCTGGTTCTTCCTCTTTGGCATCAATATGATGGTATTCATTGCAAAACCTTTGTGACTTGTGCTACAAGGGGGACAAGCACAAGCACTCTTTCAGGCCACAATGGGTCTACTTTTTCAAAGAAAATCTGATCGCAGGTTCCCTTATAGGGTAGTGCAGGCGAGCAGAGATGTTAGAAGCTTTGTCGGCTATGTTCTTGGACAAATGCAAAAAGAGCGATCTGCCCCGGAACCGATCCTGCGACGTCTCGCCTAAGAAATCCGCTCCCTACCCGTTGCGCTCTGTTACCATGTTTCAGCAGGACTCGATACATTAATGTAAAGACGCTTCCACGTTTCCTCGCGATAGCATGTGCGATCATGTGGGGATAAAACCCTCCATAACTCCGTTCAGAGAATCGTTCCGCAAATTCTGAAGGTAGATTTGAGTTCACTGTCCCAAGACGCGTACAACGGTGTGCAGCTCATTGGAAATGGCCAGGCTAACCTGTCGACCTTTCCTGGTCAGTCGCTACGAACGCTGAATCGATACCTATACTTCTCTAGTCGCTAAAAGCGATCGAAACGCTGTCGCTAATGGTAAGTATGAACGCACTCTTAACTATCCTCTTTGTTGAGTTATCGAAGCCGGAATAAATGCGATTAAGTCTGCCTCGGCAAGTGTATCGTCTACGCTTGATTCCCTACTTGGCCAGGTGATGGTGCAAAAGATACCACGGAGCAACATCTGAGCCATTTTTATGATGTTAACTGCAGTATTTGCTTGGCAAAACAGAAATCACAGGCCGAACAAGAACGAAAGGAGAGAGAAGAGAAAGAGAGGCAACGATTGGAGGAAAAGAGGTTCAGACAGGTAATTGTGCTTCGAGCTTCCCTTTCGTGGAAGTTCAATGTAGAGTGCATGTGTGACCTTGAGGTGGCGACGTGTCCGCGTACGTACGTTTTGGCGCGGCGCCGATTTCTTCCCATCAAAGGCTTCCCGCCAAACAGTGCCCAATAGTGGTGCAAGCGGGCTGGTGCCTCGCTGAGACGCACGTAAGCGGGAACGCCTCCCAGTGACGTACCAACAGCAGCAACTGTGCGTGATCTCATTTTTTTTTCTCATACAGATGCTCCCTGTGGAAAAGTGCCTCGCATACACAAGACATGAACCGCTGACTCTGCTTGATTCTGATTATAGAAATGCAATCAAGAAACCATCATACGAGGAAGAGGTATATGTTATTCTGGCAGTTCTCAGCTGATATGGTCTGGATTTCTCAAGAACAAGCTCGTTGAACGGAAATCTTCCAGGTCAAACGGATACAAAGCCCAGAGAGTACGGGTGCAGCTTGTGCGTCGGATGAGGAATACGCTGGTTCATACGATGGTGGCCCCGGTGGGGGGATTCACCGATTTTTCCAAGATTCCTACGATGTAGTCAACGTGGAGCCTCGGTATGTTCTGTACTATCTAGCGCCTCTCTATTTTCAGTTTCTAATGACAGTTGAAGACCCCCTTTACGATTGCCTACAAGATGAATCCTTCCCATCTGCGGAATGAGTAGATCGGTTGTTGTAGAAAAAAATGGCCAGGCACAGGACACACACGCGCGTCACCGATACACCTAACCATTAGCCAGAGCGCTTACGTTTGAACGTTCTTCCGAATAATGCGGGGGGGGGGGGGGAGTATCATTGTTCTCTTTTTGCTTGCAGTTGGGCGGCCGTGACACACGTCATCGGGGCTCGGTCGGTCCCGCTGCGTATGTGCCCTCAGCGGACGTGTGGCAGGATGCCTCAACTTGTAGCGTGCGTATAGGGATCCATCTGTCCGTATAGGGATCGTATAGTCCCATCTACCTTATACCTGACCGAGTTCTTTAGATGATTCTTCAACCTAAATGGTTTGAATTACGACAAACCTTGCACATCAGGGATTAATATGCTGTTGCCGGGCTCTCGCTCGAGCGATCAGGCCTTCTACCCTCCGGGGAGATGGATTGGCATCAGATTCGTCTGGTGCATTCAATTAGTCCCTACGATTTCGAATGGAGGTCGGATGCGTGCTACATCCCAAAAAATAGATTGATTAGCCGCGAAGACTTTTCCTTTATCATTTTATGTTGTTACTTATACCTATTTCAGTTTTTATAGACGATGATCCCACGAGCTGGAGGAAACTTATTCAGAGAGTCAGACAGCCAATGTGGAGTGGGTGAGTGGGCAACTTGTTCTCGTTCTAGTTTATCTTGGATTCTTTTCTTCCTGACTAGCAGAAGGGATCTGGATCCCTCCACGGGCGCAGTTTGCTGATGGGGGGAGGGGGGGAAGGCCGCTTTTTTTCACATTCTATTGACTTCACTAGTTCTGGTTTACAAGTCTTACTCTGGTGAAACCTGTGAACTCTTGTGAAGCTGGAGAAAGCTCGTCAAAGCTACCATCCCAAAACCTGTCAACTCGAAAAGAAGCTCTCTAAGTGCAAAATGCCCCCGCGTCGCCAAAACAGGCGCCGCCCCTCCACTCCGATTCTATTAAAGAGGAAGCGATACTTTTCTCCCCTTGTCCTTATTATAGATCAGTTGTTCCTTATGCGAAGGCCGAACATTAACAATCGGAAGGGCGCTTCATCACTGATTTTTTACGGGCATTTTTGCAGAATACAAGCCTCTCCAAAGTCTTCTTATGATACTAGAGGAGGGCAGGGGTGCGCATTGTCGCCACGAAGCAACTACTATTTTCAGCCACCGAACAGTTGTATAGGGTTTCCTCAAAGCAATGATGCGATGGGTAGCGCACGTCAAACAGGAGCAACTGACAATCCGAATTTCTTTTCTCAGTCCAACTACGACCCCCCCCCCCCCCTTGTTGACCAAATACAACCCTCCGCTGGGGATTCCACAGCTTACGACCTGCCTTCATTACAATTGATGCTTTCAGGATTTTCTTTATCTTTATTGCTGTTTTTTGCTACTTCATATTTTTTTCCACCGAGAAATTCTGCTACTTTCAGTACTGGTAGTATTTGGAATGGACAAATCTGCCTTGAATAATGCAGTAACTGACCACATCATTTTGTTTGATCTCAAATCCCATTGCGCTCAGAGTAGCTTCAAGACTTCCGCCTTTGCTTCGTATTAGGGTGAGTCCATTTCAATATTTTGGTGCAGTTCGGCATGGGAGGGGGGGGGGGTTGCATTTTTGCTGGTTCCTATTGTTCATAGCTTTACAAAGGTTGGCAAGTAGTCTCCCCAGACTTTGGCTGATATCGCTTTTTGGCTTCTCAACATCTCACAGATCTCTATTCAACGGTTCGACACGACAACGGGGAATAGTGAAAATGCCCCCCCCCCCTCGCCATGCTCAACTGCCCCTGATTTTCTTATTGATACGCACTTCTTGTGCTATTTTAGTTTCAGCTCAACGGTTGTGGGCTTCATTTAGATTGGCGAGATGAATTTTTTCTTGTTTTCAGGGCCGAATTGTACCCGTTATCGTTTTTGATTATATACATGAAACCATTAAAAATGCAATACATCACGTCGCAGTATTACGATTGACTAGACCAGGTGGGTATTGGAAGTAAGATTAATGTTCGAAATTTCATCCATTTCCCAATTCAGTGAGTACTTTCATTTGTTCTAACGCTTCTGTTGCAGTGAGAATATAGCGAAGGCGAACAACGGTATATCTCCATCTTTGAAGACATGGTACGGAAGGGTCGCTATTTTGCTGTTGATGTCCCTCCAGAATCGTGTTTCAAAGATATTTATTTGTTGCCGCTACCAGCTGGAGAGA